CTTTCTTTCTTTCTTTCACTTTAAAACTAACAAATAGCAAGTTTTCTCATTAAAACATGTTTTTTTTAGGAAATTCTGCAGTGGTCACTCGTCTTGATTTCTTGTACTCTTAAACAGTGTAGGCTATTTCTTTTATCTCGAAATTTAAAACACTGTAACACCTTCATATATTCCTTTCCTTTTTTTTATTTGAAGTTTGGTATTTCAGGAGTCAAAGGAACAGTTTTCTTATCGTGTTCTCACTTTTTCTCCACACGTTCTACAAAAAATAAACATTTTTACGTTGATCAGTTTCAGTTCAAAGGCTGATTTGACACAGTAAAGTATAAAAAAGCAGAAGGGGTGGGGACGGTTGGATTATATGACTTTTTTAATGCTTCATTTTGTGTGCTGTTTAGAGTGGAGTTTGAATTTGTAAGTTTTCAGACATGTACAGTATTTTAGTTGTAAGTTCTGTTTCTTTGTCTGAAACAGTAGCATTGTTGGTGCTTTGTGACTGTATTTATAGTTTTGTGAACATATGTTTCCTTTTCTTTTTCCCCTTTTCTTTCTTTTCTTACACTTCTGGAAAACACTCTCACCTGCCTGTGGGTGCCCCCCGCCCCTCCCAGACTAATCCCACCATGTGAAAATGAGATCCAGAGAGGAGTCCTGCAGTGGGCTCCTCACTCTGCTCTTTTCCCCTCTGCAGGCTGGAGTTAGCCTCTGCCAGAGGCCCCATCTTTTAAAAAAAAAAAATCACAGGCATGCAACAGCTTTTCGCCACTTTCAGTGTTTGGACTGATGAAGCCAAATGTAAAAAAAAAAAAAGAAAAAGAAAAAAAGAAAAGGTTTTGCCTGCAGACCTATTGGGAAGGATGGAAACAGTCAAAAGGGCAACTCTATAGACACAAAAAGGAAAATTAGCAACCACCTTTGATAGCCTTTACTTTGGACAAATCTCATTTTGTCACAGAAAATTTGCTATAAAAGTTAACTATAGCTGTAAAAGTTAATGATGTGAATATGTATTAACCTCGCTCTTATTCTATAGGGTGTTGCTGTTCTCCTGTTTGGAGCTCATAATGGGTTTATATACCATTAAAGACTTGTAAAGTCATCAGCAAGCATGCAGAAATRTAAATGCAATGGAAAATTTAGAGCTACAGTCAAAGGGAAATCATTTAAATTGTTCTTTTATTAAAAAAAATGTTTCGTTTTCAATCCCCTGATCAATGATTTGTAAATTTATGACCTATTTATGATGTGAAGGTTTAACATTAGTTTGTTCAGTTTGCATCTTTGTTTTATTTTATTTTACTTTCTTTAAAAAAATCCCCATATACCCACATGCTGCCATGAAAATGTTTGCGAAAGATCAATAAACGCAAGCGTGACACAGATTGACACGACGCGCTTTAGTAAACCCGGCGCCCTCACAAGCTACAGTAAAGGCGGTAAACACAAACATGTAAAACATCTATTGCTAGGTGCTCGGATTCTGTCAGGAGGTCTCAGCTGCCTTACAAACTTCAATGCTAACAATTGCTCCAAAGTTCCCACTCGGTGTCTCAGCACTATGTCAGACAGATCTCCCAAAGTTTTGGCACCTTACCCCCCCAAACCTCCAACACACACACACCCTCCATATCACTTGAATACACTCAAACACAAACAAACAGTGCTCTGCAGTCCTCCAGGGCTCTTTGCTACTTTCATTAGTGACAAAGCAAGGCCTGACTTGACTCAGAGCTCTCACAGTTGAGTCTCTAAGTAAAATTGTGCTCCTCTTTAGAAGTTTTTTTTATTCCTTTCCCCCCCCCTCTTTTTCTTCTTCTTCAATATAGTTCCAAACCTCATGTGAAAAATGTTGCTCATGATGCTCCAAAAACTGCCTGACATGACTCTTTTCCCTCAGGGATCACCTTATAAATATGGAAAGAAGAATCAAATACACACTTTTGTGAGCAAATAGGCACAAAAAAAAAAAAGAAAAGAAAAGAAAAAATCAACAAAAATGTTTTCTTTTGTCTCATGTCTCACCTCTGCAGGGTAAGCAAAAAGGGAACCATTCTCAGACCCATATTTGCTTAAAAAACAACAACAAAAAAATTTCCTATCTGTGCATGTTTTATATGTTTCCGCAAACATCTATTGATTTGTCTGCCCTTTTTTTTATAGTCGTTCGCATAACACGTGAAAGCAGATCTCTAATTGTGTTGTCCTTCTGTGGCTACCCGTTGTTGAGATGTTATTGAACATGAAAAGTCAAAGACTTCTCAGAACATTTGCAGTAAAACTGAGCTGAGACATCTTGCCGTTTTTTTTCTTTTCTTTTTATCCTTTTTCTTCTGTTAGACCTTGAGACGCCTCACCAAAAAAAGTCTGTGCTGCAGCATTAGAGGTTTCAATCTGCCTCTCAGCAGGGTGA